GGTCGCTAACAATCAGAGAAATGCAAATTAAAACCACAATGAGATATCACCTCACACCTGTCAGAATGGCTATCATCAATAAATCAAAAAACAGCAAGTGTTGGCAAGGACGTGGAGAAAAGGGAACCCTCATATATTGTTGGTGGACTGCAAATTGGTACAGCCACTATGGAAAACAGTAGAGGTTTCTCGAAAAATTAAAAATAGATATACCTTTTGACCCAGCAATTGCACTTCTGGGTATTTATCCAAAGAAAACCAAAACAATAATTTCTAAAGATCTATGCACTCCAATATTCATGGCAGCACAATTTACAATAGCCAAGATATGGAAGCACCTAAATGCCCATCAACAGACGATTGGATAAAGAAATTATGGTTCATATATACAATGGAATATTACTCAGCCTTTAAAAAAATGAGGTTATTATGCTGAATGAAATAAGCCAGAGAAAGATAAATAACATATGATTTCATTTATATGCGGAATCTAAGGAACAGAAAGAACAAACTAATCAAAAACAGACTCACAAATATAGTGGACAATTTGGTGACAGATAGAGGGGAGGGGTTTCGAGGGCCTGGGAAATGGGGTGAAAAGTTAAGAAAGTACAAATTAGTAGTTGATAGAAGGTCACGGGGATGGGGAGCATAGCAAAAGGAATGCAGTTAGCATTAATATGATGGCTAGGTGGAGGGCCAGGGGAAAGAGGGAGCAACTGGGAGGATCGTTTTATGAACTATATAGATGTCTAACCAATGTATTATATACTTGAAACTAATTTAAATAAATAATTTTTTTAAAAAAAGGAAATATCACCAACCTATTGCCACTTGGATACTGAACTACAATGTCATGATCTTCATCAATGCCACACACAGTTCCAGTTGTAGTTAAAGTCTCAAACATGCCATCAGTCCATCCGCCATGACCATGCTGCAAAGACTGTACAATTTCTAGGTCAAGATCTATATTTACCAGGTCACCAATCTGCAATCCACCAGGATTCCTGTTACCATTCTGCTCACCTGTAATTGCAGAGGGAGTTGACAAAGGAAAAGGAAAGTCACAGCGACAACATGAAACTGCATTATTTTTAAACAAGAAAAAGCTCTAGATTTTTACTTTGTTACTACCTAATCCTAAAATGTTTTGAGAATATGCTATATCAGATTCTAGAACTAGAGATCTTTAAAATAAAACTTCAGACTCAAAAAATGAAATAATATGATGAATTACAACGATGACTGAACAGTAATAGAATCTATAAAAGACTATGCAACCCTACATCAGAATACAAAGCTCTGGGTACTGAAAATATTCACTTTTCTGCATGAAAGACTTGTTGTCTATCACTGCATCAATGCCATAATAACTACAGACCATTAAAGAGAAATATGGAATCATTTTTTACAATGAAGTGCTTAATACTTTTTTTTAACCAAAGGTTTTTGTGATTTTTACATAAAGACCATTTTTAAATATTTCAAAGCCCATTCCCTAGATTATTTTCAAAGCTAGTAGTGGGATAAAGGATTCATGATCATAAAACACTACGATAAGCGATTCAAAATGTGTATGTTGATTCTACACTTTTCTTGTGACGGCAAGACACAAAGTTTCTGAAAGCAAGAGAAATGGATGATCTCATCAAAAATATAGATTATTCTTTTACAGCACTTTTTGGCAAAAAGGCAAATCCAATAATTATTTAGAAAGAAGAACACCGTTCACATGAGTGAGAAAGGAAAGCTTTCAGAGACTAAAGGCTTAATCAAAAGAATGTGGTAAATGTTCATCACGGCAACAATAAAAATCTATAAAATAAAAATTTTGGTTTTCTTCTTCTTCTTTTATTTTAATGATATGTAAAATTATATGTATTATATTACCCTAATCTTGGAGCTGTTCTTGTATTAAGAAGGCAATTTTACACAAATTCTAAGGAATTTATAAACTTTAAATTGTCAGATCCTATTCTCAGTAGCATAAGAGATATGACATTGATAATCTAACACAAAATTTTTCAACAATATAAGTTTATGGTTAAAAGACAAAAGTTTCAAACATATTATGACATAAATGGCATCTCAGTTCTCAAGCTATGACAATTCAATGTCTACATAAATCATCGAAAAAGAACAATTTTTTAAAACCAAAATAAAATCAAAAAGTTACTTCTTTAAATATCTTTAATGGTAAATAGTTTTTAAGAGTTCAATTTAAACATTTTTCTGATCCCATGAACTCTGACCCATTATTTAGTAATTTTCTCTAGTCTGCTAACTCACCTAGCACAGGGCAGTGATCTCTGTAAAATGAACCTCCTTTGGCATCCTGGACACACTTTAGATCAGACTAAGAAGAAAAGAAACCAGAAAAATCACCCCTGAAAACTTCAAATATAGCTCAGTACCTAAAATAGGCAAAAATATTCATTTAAAACATATCCTCAGCAGAAGTCAAAAGTCACACTAAACACTGCTTTCAAAAGCACCCATTAAAAACTAAACCTGATCTTCAGATAGGTCATACTTTACTTACTTTTAGCTTCTTTTAAAGTTCAAAATTAAAATGCTTGGATCTTTACCATTATATTTTCAGAAACACATGCTAAAAAAGGAGAAGAGGGGACTATAACGAATATCTACTATTTAAAATGTACATAAACACATTTCATTTTTAAAATATTTATACCCAAAAAGAATTCATTTGATTTTTCTAATCAGTTTTATGAAATATAGAACAAAGTACAGTCTTTTTATTCTTTGCTCAATTTTCCTATTTACATCAGCTTTTGTGCTTACTTCGCCATAACATGATTAAGCTAAGTTCTTTTCCACTTAGCTTGTATAAGAAAACAAATTACTATTTCAGTATCTGAATGGGGAGGCAGGTGTCATATAATGAAAAAGTACAAAAAATGTGAACTTAGAAGAGCAACCTAGGAGGCTACCGTGAAAAAGCAGATTTACTTATAGTGCCTAATAGTACCTGATATATAGGTATATATAGATATATATGATCAGTATATTCTCACTCTATTAAGGAAAGGAGCTCCTTTATACACACACACATACACACACACACACACACACACACACACACACACACACACACACACAGAACCAAACTCTTTTACAGCTCCTTTGCCACTAGAGCATCGCATTTAGCTAAATCCTAGCCAAAGAGACACAGTGGTCAGATTGTTTTAGTATGATACTTAGACCCAGCAATTTCACTTCTGGGAATCTATCCAAAAGAAATACACCCATAAATGTGCAGAGACACATGCATGAGGATACTTGCTGAAACACTGCTTGCAACAATGAAAAAACCCAACCCAGATACCTATCAACAGAAATCTCATTAAATAAATAGCATAACCATACAAAAGAGTATTATTTATCCAACAAAAAAAAAAATGGGATCTATATATATATAATATTTATTAAGTACCTGAGCACATATAGAATGTAAGGCTTCATTTGAAGCAAGTTAAATAATCAATAGGCATCCTATAGAAATTCACAGTTTAAAAATGAAGAAGCATGAAGATAATAAAGGAAACCTGATAACCAATGATATATACAATTATAAATACTAGCAGGTAAAGTAGTTGTTTAGAGTCACATGGCTAGCTTTTAGACATAAATGGAATAAATTAAGGCAAAGAGACAGTGGGATATTTTTCTCTTCCTAATGAGAGCGATCAAACAGTTGAAAAAAATGAAATTTAAAGAATTCTTTGAATGAGGAATATATTCAAAATGGAAAGGATATAGAAGGCATATATTAGCATTAATATAATATTTAATTATACTCTAAATTAAATAGCTGGGGTCAACATTTGAACAACGATCCATGAAGAGCAGAAATATAAGGCAATCCACTGAATAAAACACCATTATTTTCCTAAGCACTTAAGTATTTGAAGTGTTTCTAGGTCAATCATTTTCAATTATCAATACTACACTTTAAAAATACAGTGAAAAAGAATCTCCTTAAAAATAATTTTAACACCTACTGTAATTTA